ATGTCTGTGCAGGGAGCCGGGCGTTGAAAAGGCTTGGGAAGCGGGTGCTGGTAGGTGGCTCAGGATTTGGGGATTCTCTGCTATTGTTCCCTATTCACAGAGGTGATAGCTGACCCAGGCAGGTAACTTGCAGCAAAGGAGTGAAAAGGCAGTGCTGGTGTCCCAGAGAGAGTGGCTGATATCCTGACCTCCTCTTGGCCCCTCTGATGTGGGATCTCTTTCCCTGGAGCCTATGTGCTGTGGGAGTACCTGGATCCCCTTAGGAGGGACCTGGGCATCTTTGTACCCCAAGTCTATCTCAGAACTTGGCACGTGGCAAGTACTCAGTAAATGTTGCTTGAACTTAATTGAAATGAGAACTAATTACAGCCTTTTCATGTACCATTCTTTCATTCACTCATTCATTCCATGTGTCAGTTTCTATGCAAGGCCCTGAGTCAGACAGAGGAAAAACACAGGGTCATAGTAGCCTACAGTAGCCTAGAGTTTAACCACAGACAAACAGGTCAGGGCAATGGAAAGAGTGCCAGGCTGGGTGGTGGACATCTGGACCCTAGTCCAGGCTCTGTGTCTGCCCAATCCGTGACTCCAAGCAAGTCCCTTCTGTGGACCACTGCTCCCATCTTTAAAGGCACAGCCTGGCCTCAGTACTTGTGGGGTCATTTCTCACACTAAATAGTAAGATTTTTAAGGCATTGGGACAGGCTAATACAGGAGCTACAAACTTCCAAGATTTCAGGGGCCAGGTAGGGAACAGGGAGTGGAGGGTTGAGCTGGTGAGGACATATCCCTACAAAGAGAGTTACCAGTTCCCACGATGTGGGAGCCCATGTTCAATTACCAAGTCATTGGTCTTTTCCAGTGAAGTCAGAAATCTGGGATGATGATGAAGATGATGGAATTTCTTAACATTTCAATCATTAAGCAAGCCAAACCAAACTCTTCTGCTACCTTGTCCACAGTAAACTTTTTGCAAACCCTGCAAGGCATGCCCTTGGTTCAGAGTCTTCTGACTTCTCTACTCAGAGTAAGAAGAGACCTTGGACTCAAAGGTTCATTCCCAGATTTGGGGAGGGAAGTGTGATGGGAGGTCTGCTTCATAACTTCTCACAAAGAGAGGTATCCCTCGTAGCTTTCTTGGGATAATGGGCATCCCTGGAGCCAGGGGTGGGCTGGAGATGGGGCAGTGAGTGCCCACCTCCAAACCAATTACAACATTTTAAATACCAGTTTTATAGAAAAGCTCTTGAATAAAGAGCTTGAATACCCACAGGAATGGAAAAGGACAGCTCTAGGGATCATTTGTATAGGAATACCTTGGAGATATTGTAGGTTCCGTTACAGACCTCTGCAATAAAGCATATAGCAAAATAAAGCAAGTCATACCAATTTTTTGGTTTCCTGGTACATATAAAAGTTATATATATATATACACACACACAGAAGTTATATATAACTTATTTACATATAAGTTATATATAACTTATATACATGTATATATACATATACTTTTATACTATATATACGTATACGTATATATAACTTTTATACATATAAGTATATATAATTTTATATATACATATGTATGCATATGTATTTATAACTGTGTAATTCTATTGTGCACTTAATAGACTACAATATATTTTATAAAATATTTTATAAAATATACTGTAGTCTATTAAGTGCACAGTAGAATTAAATAAAATATGTAGTATAAAATATACTACAGTCTATTAAGCGTATACCATATATGTATATGTATATGTACATATATGTGAATATATACAGCATAAAATATACTGTAATATATTGTAAATATAATGGCATCAAGAATGGTGAATCCTATTAAGATGGTTTTCAATTCACTTTGCCCAGATCTGTCAGAGGAATCACTATCTGTGGCAGCCAAAGCCTTACAAAATGTATATATTGTAATATATATACCTATACGTATGTATATATACACAGTGTAAAATATACTGTAGCCTATTAAGTATGCAACAGAATTACACCCAAAAACAATGTATATATTTTAATTTTAAATACTTGATTGCTTAAAAAATGCTAACAATCATCGGGTGAGTCTTAATCTCTTTTTGCCGGTGGAGGGTCTTGCCTCCATGTTGGTGGCTGCTGACTGAGCAGTTTGGTGGTTGCTGGTGGCTGGAGTGGCTGTGGCAATTTCTTAAAATAAGACAACGGTGAGTTTGCTGCATCAATGGACCTTTTCTTTCATGAAAGATGTCTCTGTAGCATACACTGCTGCCTGATAGCATTTTGCCCACAGTAGAACTTCTTTCAAAATTGGAGTCAATCCTCTCAACCCCTGACACTGCTTTATCAACTAAGGTTATTTAATATTATTTATTATTTAATATTCTAAGTTCTTTGTGGTCATTTCAACAATGTTCACAGCATCTTCACCAGGAGATTTTATCTCAGGAAACTACTTTATTTACTCATCCATAAGAAGCAACTCCTCATCCTTTCTTCAGGCTCCACTTCTAGTTCTGGTTCTCTTGCTATTTCTACCACATCTGCAGTTACTTCCTTCAATGAGGTCTTGAACCCCTCAAAGCCATTCATGATGTTTGGAATCAGCTTTTTTAAAATTTCTGTTAATGTTGGTATTTTAACCTTTTCCCCTGAATCATTAATGTTCTTAATGGCATCAAGAATGGTGAATCCTATTCAGACAGCTATCAACTTACTTTGCCCAGATCCATCAGAGGAATCACTATCTATGTCAGCTAAAGCCTTACAAAATTTCTTAAATAATCAGATTTGAAGGTTGAAATGACTCCTTGAACCATGGGCTGCAGAATGGATGCTGTGTTAGCCAACGTGAAGACAACGTTAATCTCCTTGTACATCTCCATCAGAGCCCTGGGGTGAGTAGGTGCGTTGTCAATGAGCAGTAATGTTTTGAAAGGAATCATTTCTTCTGAGTAGTAGGTTTCAACAGTGGGCTTAAAATATTCAGTAAACCATTCTTAAACAGGTTTTGTTGTTCCATTTTTAGAGCATAGGCAGAGTAGATTGAGCATACTTCTTAATGGCCCTAAGATTTTTGGAATGGTAAATAACCATTGGGTTCATCTTAAAGTCATCAGCTGTATTAGCCCCTAAAAACAGAGTGAGCCTGTCCTTTGAAACTTTGAAACCAGACATTGACTTCCCCTTTCCAGCTTTGAAAGTCCTAGATGGCGTCTTTTCCCAATATAAGGTTATTTCTTCTACACTGAAAATCTGTTGTTGGGTGTAGTCACCTTCATCAATTATCTTAGCTAGATCTTCTGAATCACTTCCTGCAGTTTCTACATCAGCACTTGCTGCTTGAGCTTCGAACTTTTACATTATGAAGAGGACATCTTTCCTTAAACCTCAAGAACCAACCTCTGCTAGCTTCAAACTTTTCTTCTGCAGCTTCCTCACCTCTTTCAGTCTTCACAGAATGAAAGGAAGTTTCCATCTTGCTCTGGATTAGGCTTTGGCTTAAGGGAATGTTGGGGCTGGTTTGATCTTCTAGCCAGATGACTAAAGCTTTCTCCACAACAGCAATAAGGCTGTTTTGCTTGCTTATCGTTTGTGTGTTTGCTGGAGTAGCACTTCTAATTTCCTTTAAGAACTTTTTCTTTGCATTCGCAACTTGGCTGTTAAGCACAGAATGCCTGACTTTTGGCCTGTCTTGGCTTTTGACATGCCATCCTCACTAAGCCTAATCATTTCTAGCTTTTAATTTAAAATGAGAGTCATGTGACACTTCCTTTCGCCTGAACGCTTAGAAGTCAAAGTAAGGTTATTAATTGGCCTAATCTCAATATTCTTGTGCCTCAGCAAATAGAGAGGCCCAAGGAGAATGTCCAGCCAGGGGATCAGTCAGAACACACCCAACATTTATCAATTAAGTTGGCCATCTTACATGGGTGCAGCTCATGGCACCTCAAAACAATGATGATGGTAATATTCAAGATCACAGATCACAGATCACCGCAACAACTATAATGGTAATTTAAAATTTTGAAATAATGAGAAAATTACCAAAACGTGACACACAGACACAAAATGTGTACACACTATTGGGAAACTGGCAGCAACAGACTTGTTCAAGGCAGGGTTGTCACAAACCTTCCATTTGTAAAAAAAACAATACGTGTGAAACACAATAAAGTGAAGCACAGTAAAATAAAGTGTGCCTGTATTTAGCTTTGAAGTTCACTGTGTAGATCAGATTCCAACTTGATGAAAGTATTTGTAAAACCCACTATGCACAGAGTTCTGGTAGTACAGAAGAAGCTAATCCTTGCCCTTAAAGAGATTATGCTCACTCTCATTCACTTGAAGTCAACCCAATGTTTATTGAGTTTCTGTCTTGGGCTCAGTAGGGATGGGATGAAGGAGAAAAGAGGATGAGTTAGCCAGCCTCTGCCCCCCAACGTATCACAGCCTGTTAAGGAAGAGGGCTGTAGACAAAAATGACTCTAAGTCTGGCCACAGTAGCAGCTCTAATAGAAATTCAAACAGCATCTGAGCATGAACGCTTCACGAATTTGCACATTTGCTTAGGCTGCTATTTAAATTACTTTCCTTTCCCTGTGCACATGCCAATAGGCAGTAGAGATGACAGCCCGGGTGCTCCCCAAGCTGGCTGGGAGGATAGCGGTGGGGGCGGGAGAGGGGACGATGCTGGAAGAATCAGATTGAGGTGAACACAAGGCTGCAGATATTCCACAAAGTGGACAATCAAGAGTGAACCCTGAGACCACCTCTCCCTCTGACATGGCAGCTTTCTCATGACCATTCTTTTCTCTTCTTCCGTCTTTGTCCCTTCTGTGTGCTCCCTCCTCCAACACGCTCACCCGCTTCTCCCCGCCTCTGTCTGTCTGTCCCTCCCTGCCTGGCTCCTGCCGAGGGCAGGCACCTCTGTCAGCCTTCTCGCAGTTGTAGTTATTGTGTGTGGCGTGGCCCTGGTGGCAGTTTTTCTCTTTCTCTTTTGGAAGCTGTGCTGGATGCCCTGGAGGAACAAGGAGGCCTCCAGTCCCTCTCCCGCTAATCCCCCCTTGGAAGCCCTCCAGAGCCCCAGCTTCAGAGGCAACATGGCGGACAAGCTGAAGGACCCCAGCACCCTGGGCTTCCTGGAGGCGGCCGTGAAGATCAGCCACACATCCCCAGATATCCCAGCTGAGGTGCAGATGTCGGTCAAGGAGCACATCATGCGTCACACGCGGCTGCAGCGACAAACCACAGAGCCAGCATCATCCACCAGGTGAGGAGTGGACCGCTCCTTCCCCTGACCCCCATATCTCCACACTCTCTTATTTAATACATCTATGAGATTCCAGCCTGTGAGGATCAGAGATCAGAAATAATAACACATATCCTTTGATTGAGAAATATGTCAGATGATGTGATCCATGATGGGCGATCAATGAAGAGGTGGGCACCAGGAAAGACTTCAGAAAAGGCAAACCTTTGAGGCAGGTTGCTGTACATGTGGTGTGCACTTGGGGTGTGTGTGGGTGTGAAGGGAACGGAATAGAGGAATAGGGGAGTGTTGGGTATTTGGACGGAAAGACCTCAGGCAGAGGGAGAGAATATGTGAAGGCCTAGAGACGTAGGAGTTGATGGTGCGTTTCGGGGTGCGTCAGTAAAGCCTGATGGCTACAGTCTGCCGTGCATGGCAGATAAGGCAAGAGTCTTAGTAGTTTGAGACTGAGGATTCCTTTAAAGCCTTTCAGAGTTCCCTGCATGACAACAATTGTAAATATATACAACATCCTTTAACTGAAAATAGCAACAAGAGAAACATAGCAAAAACCTACCCTAAATTCAGAAACACTTTTAAAAAATGTGGTGCAAGCATGCGTGAGGCATCGCATTTACTCAAAACGTAGGGCTCTGATGGATTCCTAGGTGCCTGCAATGGCCCTCCAGGCTCTCAGGGGACCAGCCAAAGAGAAGGAGGCCTGGTCTTCAGACTGGAGGCCAGGAATCAACATGCTGAGGGTCACACTGACCGTTTGTCACATGGCCTTGGGCAAGTTGCTCACCTTCCCTAAGCCTCGCTTTTTCCAACTGTAAAATAGGGCTGATGACTTTTATACGGCAGTCGTGAGGAGCCAATGGAAGAATGCATGTGATCGATAAGGAGAGCTAACACATATATTGCTTATGATTATGGCTGCCCCTCTTCTAAGACTTTTCACTCTCACAGCTATCCTATGCAGTTGTCACTTTTATTATTCTCGTTTTTTGGGCACAGAGAGGTTAAATAACTTTCCAAGATCTCAGCTAGAAAGTGACAGAGCCAAAATTAACCTATGCAGTCTAACTCCAAAGCCCATGCTTTTAACCACTCCGCTGCCTGCCGTATACCAAATGCTGAACAAACGGTGGCGGTGACAGTGGTGACGGTGGTGAGTGGTTGCCACACTGAGGATAAGAAGGGAGGGTCCTTCTCTTAAGGGATCTCATGATTTAATAAGGGAACCGGAGTCGTGTCTTCTAGGAAATAAACCTAAAAAGCAGGTAACAGAAAAGCAGGAAAAGTGATTATGATAGCAATGGCTATGTTTACTAAGCTTACTATATACCAGGCACCATTCCAAGTACTTTACATATATTAAGACATGTAATGCTCACAACAACCTTGCACACAAAGTGTGTGCAGAAGAAAAGTGGGGTCAATAAGAGAAAAAAAGGGGGCTCAACAAGGGATTGGATGAGCCAGGGTCTCCAGGCTTGTGTCTGTCTACATCCCCCTTTCCCTGCGCCCTGACCACACTTCCCTCTGCCACCTCCGCCAGGCACACATCCTTCAAGCGCCACCTGCCAAGGCAGATGCATGTCTCCAGTGTAGACTATGGTAATGAGCTTCCGCCAGCCGCAGAGCAGCCCACCAGCATCGGCCGCATCAAGCCCGAGCTCTACAAGCAGAAGTCGGTGGATGGGGACGATGCCAAGTCTGAGGCCACGAAGAGCTGCGGGAAGATCAACTTCAGCCTTCGCTACGATTATGAGACCGAGACCCTGATTGTGCGTATCCTGAAGGCTTTTGACCTCCCTGCCAAGGACTTCTGTGGGAGCTCTGACCCTTACGTCAAGATCTACCTCCTGCCTGACCGCAAATGCAAGCTGCAGACCCGGGTGCACCGCAAGACCCTGAACCCCACCTTCGATGAGAACTTCCACTTCCCCGTGCCCTACGAGGAGCTGGCTGACCGCAAGCTGCATCTCAGTGTCTTTGACTTCGACCGCTTCTCCCGCCATGACATGATTGGCGAGGTCATCCTGGACAACCTCTTTGAGGCCTCTGACCTGTCTCGGGAAACCTCCATCTGGAAGGACATCCAATACGCCACAAGTGTGAGTACAGTCCTGTTCCTTGGCTTCTTGAGGATGTGCGATTCAGGGATGGGTGGGACATGTCCCAAGCCTCTCAGTTCCTAGGGACAAATGGGCCTTTGCCCTTTGGGATATGAAGAGGGAGTCTGGAAACTGCCCAGTGGCCCAGCCTACGCTTGTGCTCTGCCCCAGGTCGGGATGGCAGATAGCAGAGGCCCCATATAGGTAGAAAGTGAAGGGAATTTTTATCTATGGCTTCTGGTTGCATGTTCTGGGGCGGTTCTTTCTACTGAGAGCACTGATGTGCATTAGAAGCTTGGCATAAGCAATCGAAACAGGCCATATCAATCAGGCTGAACCAGGCTATGCTGCAGCAGCAAACTGTCTGAGGATTTTGTGGCTTCAGACAACTAGAATTTATGCCTTGTTCATGTTTCATGTGCTTTGCAGCTGGGCTGGGGACTCTTCTCCACCTTGTTACCTGGGGACCCAAGCCAACAGAGGCTGCGTTTAGACATGTGCCCCAACAGCTAAACATCAGGAGGAAGAGGAAGTAGCAGATCATGCACTATTTATTAAAGCTTCCACACAGATGTGACACATGTCACTTCCACTCCTGTTAGAACAAGACACATGGTAACTCCTAACATCAAGGGAGAAGGGGCAAAGTAATCCTACCAAGTGCCCAGAAGGGGAGCTGGACATACCTAATGAACAGCATGAATGACGAGGGACACAGAGCAGAGTCCCTTTGCTTGAGCACTGTTTTCCCCAGGGAAGTCTGGGAGATGGGGAAGGTCAGCCGAAAAGGAGACCTGGCTAACCCCTACGCAGGAGGTGGGTGCTGAGCTCTTTGCAATCAGCTGGAATTAACCACGGAAGGTTTCAATGAACTGGGGCTCAAGTTGGCTTTTAAGAGAAGGGAGCACAGGTTTGGCACTGAGAACTGGAGAGGGCACATCCAAAGCCCTTCGGTCTGACATAGCCCTTTGCTCCAGTTCCCTGGGTTGAGGAAGCTGTGTAGCCGCATTCTGCAGGTAGAGTTAGTGTCCTCTCTCTAAGCCCACCCAGGCATCTGAGAGCTCAATGGGGGCGTATCCTCCAAGCTCCAGTGGCCTTGCATCTGCTCTCTTGACTGCTAACAGGTTGAGCGGCAACCTGGATATCTCCTGCGCTGTGTCTCTGAGGAGGGGCAACCCCACTCTGTCCGCAGACTCCCCTTTCAATAGTCAGTACTCAATATCTCTGTGTTGAGCCTATGAGGAGAGGGACTCTGGTGTGCAAAGGGTATAAATCGTGATGTGTTCAAACAGAGAAAGCTTTGTGGGCTCTGCTTGTGCCCCAGGAAGGATCTGGGGACACCCCATTCTCATAGATGTTGCTGACTTTGACCAGTCCAGCCCAATGGCCCAGTGCCTCCCCCACCTTTGCTTTCCTGAAATGTCATCCTTAAGAAGAACCCAAGTAGCTGGCTGGCCAGCAGACAGACGGGGCGGGCAGACAGGGCGGATCGGAACAGCAGCTGTGCACCAGCCCCAGGCCGGGGAGCTCCACTCCCTAAATCACTCTGAAATTTACACCTGGCACAGCGCTTCCCTTGTGGTCTCCTTAGGCTGTGGCTTCATTATGGTAACTGTATAGGTAGAGAAAAGCAGCTCAGCCCTCCTCACAGTGAGGTTGTCACCTAGGACGGGGGTGACAGAGCTCAGCGCAGCCCTCCCAGGAGCCTCCTTTGCTCCTTGCCAGAGCGCAAGGTCCATTGTCTCTGACCCCAGGCACGAACAGAAGCCTCAGTCCTGGGGTAGGCAGTCTGTGCGCAAGCACTCTCCTCACCTGGATGTACCTTTCCATATCCAAGAACCCTGTGGCTGTCCTGTCCTGTCCTCTCCTTGTCCCATCCCCACTTCCCTAGCCTGGCTTCTGAAAAGGGCAGATCAACCGAAGAGCACGGAACAAATCACCATCATCCTCAACTAGTATCATTATAGTCCTCCTCTGTCTCCTCCTCCCAAGAACACTGTGCCAGGCATGGGGGTGGGGATGGCCCTGGGATAGAAAACAGCCTTTTTGACCCACAGAAACTTGTAATCTAATTACAGAGACAGGAAATGTCCATGAAGTAGCTGGCCGAGCAAAGCAGCAAATACTATCCGCTGCATACGGTTGCAGGATCCTTAGAGTCAGGACAGCTGGGGAAGGTCTCCTGGATGAGGAGAATTAAATCAGGTGGTGAAGGACAGTCATAACTAACTCAATAGGCCAGGAGGAAGTGGGAGCATTCTAGCCAGGTGCAGAGGGAATCCAGGCCCAGGAGTTTCCACAGCTGCAGAGCCAGTCCCATGCTCAGACAGCCTGTCTTACCGTCTGTCTGAGCTGGAGGTTCCTTCTCAAGTGAGTCCCCTGGTACCCTCCAGCCTGCAGCCCACCAGCAGGTAGAATTTTCAGGAGCGGGCTCATCACCTTGCCAGCAAGGACTCAAGCAAAAGAGGGGGAAGAGCTACAAGAAGGCTGGTGCTTGTACCTGTTCGTGGTGCTGTCAAATTTTAATTATTTGGGGGCCAGGGAGGCCCAAGTCATCACAGTCTCCAGGAATGACAGAGCACTGAGTGTATATGAATTCCCATAGCCAGCACAATGGGGGGCAGTACTGATGAGCTGAGTGCAGCCGACAGCCAGCTCCCATCTCTGCGGTGCGTCTGATTCCATTCCCAGAGCTGCCCTTTGGACCTGAGGTCAGGAATTCGGCAGCTTCGGAAAAACACCTGACATTCCTGACTCTTGCCTTTGCCCACAAGGTTCTCCTTGTTAGGCAGGCCTGTTCCCACCTCCCTTCCTGGTGCAAACCAATCCACCTTTCAGAGCCCACCTGCCATCATCCTCCACAGCAGCTGCCTCTCCAGTGTGTTCTCTGTATGCCCAAGTTCTATCCTGAGTCATATTCTATCTGGTAAAGTCCTCCCAATGGCTCAGGAATGGCTTGTGACCCACTTTTGATTTTCTCTTGTGTTTTCCCTCAGGGCTGAGGGTAAGAACCCAGTACTTTCTTGTTAAATGACCAGTGGCTTACTTAATTCAATTGAGACTATATATGGGTGCCCAAGGAAAAGACTAATTATTAAAGAAGCAGTTGGAATGGAATGGGTTAACCTGGGAAGACTTCTTGGAGAAGCAGCTCAAGTAGTATTTAGAAAATAGCTAGAGTCAGGCTTGGTGGGGAGAGGCCCAGCCTGTGCACTCATTCAGAGGTGAATGGGTTGGTTTGTGTCTGGGGTAACCAGTCAGATCAGGTAATCTGGACCAAAGCAGAGAGTCCGTGACCCACATACTGAGCAGAAGGAAAGGCACCGTGAGAAAGGGGACTTGGGGGCTGCTCTGTGCTCACCCAAGTGCTGTGAATGCTGCTTGTATTGCCCCTTGAGTTTGTGCAGGAGAGTCAGATTCGGCTCTGGCAGGTGGCACCAGGCAGCTCCCTTGTTCCTGCCCCCACCCTGGTGCTTGAGTTGAAGTACCAAAGCCAGGAGCATTTGCATTGTGTTCTCACGGCCACAGAACCCTGAGCTCAAGGAAGGGGAGGTACACATCCGAGGAGCCTAACTCTTTGTTAATTGCAAATCTTAAGCCTCGAGGGACGCTCGCCTCCCCAGTCTAGATTGTTCCAGGGAGAAGTCTGGGCAGCACAGCAGCTAATATGCCCCACTGGCTGGAGAGCCAGAACAAACTGGGCTTGCAAGGCAGTTGGAGGCCTCTTGCATTGCACGGAATTAAGAAACTCAGGCCTGGGATGGAAATTTTGGGAGTTCACCACATCTATTCCGGCCCTGGGAAGCACTGCCCTCTGCTCTCCCCGTCTCTCCTCCAGCCAGGCTTGCCCAAGGGTCCCTGATGGTCTCCTGGGCATTCCCAAAGGTGTTCCACTGTCTCTCCAACCAGAGCTTCAATTGGCTAAAATCACCATGCTCTTCCCTCCCAGCTTCCTCTGCTCCTGGTCTCATTATTTCTAAATAAAGCTGTAGATTTATCATTATAATAGAGCCGCCATCAGCCGGGTTTGCTAACATCTCTGTAATCTTTTAGTATTGCTACAGAGGCCTCAGACCCCACTGCACACAACTATTCCTGTCACTATTCCCCCTCCTTCACTGTGGCAGGAGGCGAAGGCTGTAATTGGGGCCATAAATATGTGCTGTGCTTGGGGGTACTAATGGATTCGGCCATCTTCCTGCCTTACCAGGTCCCTACTAGTTTAGAGTGTGCATGAGTGTGTGTGTGGGTGTGTGTTGTTTTTGGACTAGGCTAGAATGTGTGTGTGTATGTGTGTGAGTGTGCATTTGTGTGTGCGTTGTTTTAGGGGTGATGAAGTGTTCTGTATACTTCCAGAGAGCCTGGACTGAGGGTATGCAGGGAGGAAGGGGGGCCTTAAATGGTAGAACAGCCTCTGGCCTGGAAACGAGCAGAGCTGTGCGGAAGGAGTGCAGGCTTTACTGTCAACCCGAGTTGCATTCCAGCTTCCTCACTTTCTAGCTTTAAAACCTTGGGACATTATCTAAACTGTGCCTCAGTTTTGGCATCAGCAAAATGGGGATAATAATGGTGTCTAGCTCCTATTGGTATTATATGTAGTAAAGGAACAGAGTGCACAGCCACCTAGGACAGCGCTGTCACAGAGCAGCTGCTGAGCCCTATTCGTCTGGTGCCCATCCTGTTGGCTTAGACCGTGGGTCACTTCTGTACCACTCCCAGGCCTCACCTTCCCCTTTGGTCCAGGACACCAGTTCTGACTGGTTGTTGAATGTTATTATTCCCTTTTTATTTCTTGTCTTGGCTATGGCACGTGTTTTCTGTGTGACCTTGAAAAAGTGACTTTCCCTGCCTGGGCTGCATTTTCCTCAGTATTAAACCATCTCTAGAGTCCTGTGATTTTCATCTTCTCCTGTAGAGAAGTGAGAGCTACCCATTCCCAAGGAGTGTGGTCTCCATAGCAGAGGCCTAAACCCCGCAGTGATAAGTCACTGGGCAGAATT